GGTGGAAGTCAATAACTATCACCGGATGAAGAAGTAACCATGTCGCAACTACTTGATGAGAAGTTTGAAAACCGTGACGATTTTATAAAGGGTTGAAGAATTTTTATGCTAAGCAAGGTTACGCTTTATCCATCAAATTTTCTAGAAAGGACTGCTATGTGTGTATTGGTTGTGATCGAGGAGGGGAATATCGAAACAAGCGCAACATGCCTATTGAAGAAAGAAAAAGAAAGACATCAACTCATCTTACAAACTATCCATTTAGAATATATGGAAAGAGACATAGAGATGGTTATTAGACATTATCAATTAAGAATAATAGTCATAATCATGAAACTTCTAAAGAAATGTCTGGGCACCCTTGTGTGCGCATTTTTTCAAAAAAAGATATCGTCTCTATTGATAACATGAGAAGAGCTGGGATTCCACCTCGCCAAATTCTTTCATCCATTCACCAAGAGAATGAGGACAGTCAAGTAGTCACGAGGGATGTCTATACTGCAAAGAGTAAGACTGTGCGTGAAAGCTTAAAGGAACGCTCTATGATTCAAATTCTATTTGAAGAACTTGATAAGGATAAATTCCTATTTAATTTTGAACGAGACAAGCAAGGTTGTTTAACCCATCTCTTCCTTGCTCATCCTAATTTTGTTACACTAAGTAGAAGTTATTCAATCGTCTTTGTTATGGATAGCACCTACAAAACTAACCGATATAAAATGCCATTACTTGAAATAATAGGGATCACCAACTTTAACACTTCATTCTACTCTTGCTTTGCATTTTTGAGAAAAGAAGCTGAAGAAGATTACAAATGGGCATTACGAGCTTTTAGTAAAATACTTGGTGATGGCATATGCCCATCTGTTATAACTAGTGACTGATCGAGAATTGGCTCTTATGAATGCTATTCCAGAAGTTTTTACATCGGCTTCAAATCTGTTATGTGTTTGACATATCGAGAAGAATTTAATGTCAAATTGTAAGGCATATTTTGATATGCAAGAAGCTTGGGAAGAATTTTTGGCTGCATGGAATCGGGTTGTATATTCTGCAATGGAAGAGCTTTACATGCAAGCTTGGAATGAAATAGTGTCATCCTATAAAGAGAAAGGTAACATTCTGGATTATCTTCAAATTCATGCTGCCTTGTAAAGAGTACTTTGTTGATGCTTGGACTGAAAAGTATTGGCATTTTAGAAATCGTGCTACTTCAAGAGCAGAAGGTGCTCATTCGAAATTGAAAAAATATTTATTGGTGTCTATAGGCGATGTTTTAAATGTGAATAGGAAAATGTGTCTAGCTCTTGAGAATGACATAAGGGAATTTAAGACTAGAGTATCAAGTGAAATGATCAAAATTCCTCACAAGTGTAACCACCCCTTTTTTAGAGAAGTTATTTCTCATTTGTCAATCTTTGCCCTGACAGAGTTAGAGAAACAATTTGATCTGATGAAAAATCTCAAAATGAGTTTAACATGTACTGGTAGATTTAAGGCAACTATGGGGTTACCTTGTGCACATGTGATGAGTTGTTGGGAAGTAATACCCCTTGAAACAATACATTCTCAATGGCGGATTGATACAAGAGAGTCTCTTTTTCATGAAGATGATGATAATGGCGAGTGGAGTCTAAGTCCATTGTTGACCAAGTTGCATAGCAAGTAACAAGATTTGCCTTGGACAGAAAAAAAAGAGAGTTCACAATCATATATCTATGCTTTTTGATGAACAAGCATCTGTGACTTTCGAGCCTAATGTAAAGCAAGGGAAAGGAAGACCACAGGCTAGCAAAAAAAAAAAAAGAAAGGATAAAGTTCGACTTCTAGAGATTCATCACTTTTTGAGATTGTAGAAAAATCATTGAAGCGTAAGAATCATAAAGGAGGACAAGGTTATAGTCCTTCAAATCAAATTCTCACAAATACTTTGAATGAAAATCAGAACTCAAACCTTGGCTTGTTTGACTTGAATAGTGACAAGCCGTCGTCACACTAGTCAAATAATAATTACCTACTTAATACAATTACTAGTAGTAAAGCAGAAAGCAGGGTCGATCCCACAGAGAAGGAATACTAACTACCAGGTAAATTACTCCTATTATTATCTAGATAAATGATGATCTCAGATTTATAAAATTTAAAACTAAAATAAATAAATAAAATAAAAAAAAATAATATTAATTCAAGTAATCAGACAAAGAAAACCTAGGACATTGGGTTCACCTACCGAATATTTAGTTTAGTTCAATTCACAAATATTTGACTTTTAACTTCCATTAATCTCACAACGATTCACCTAATTAAGAACTATACACTCTCGTGTTATAATTCTCTTACTTATATTAACCCTATGACTACTCTCGTGACTATAGGGATTAACAAAAGCACATTAAGACCATTAAGAATCAAATATTGCAAAGGTTATAATCTTACTCTCGTAGCTTACAACCTAAGTTTATTATTCCTACGAACTAATATTAATCTTCCACTCTCGCTACTTCGATTAATATCTTCAGACATGCAAATAGTGGCCAATTACTTACACGAATTAAAACAAGAATAACAAATATTAATTTATGGAAAAATCAAATAATAATAAACCAAATAAACCAAAGTAATTCGGTGGCTACACCCAAGCCCTAGATTAAAAGAATTTAGTCACTAAACATTATTAAAATTAATTCAACAATATTTAGAGACATAAAAAAAATAAATAAATTAAATAAATTAAAACTTCAAAACCGAATGAAGCCAAAACCGCCAAAAACTCCCCTCGGTTGCTCGCTTCGCCGGTGCTGCGTCAAGTGATGATGATGCTGCGCGAGAGATGGAGAAGGTCGTGGTCGGCGGTGAAGAGCTTTGCAGCGACCGAGGAGGCTGTTGCGTGGAGGGTGAGCGAGGAGGTCGACGGAGGAATTGAAAAGGATGCTGCTGCGTGATGGTGATGATGGCTTCGTGGGTGAGTTCGGTGATGATGAGTTGCCGCTGTTGATACTGCCGTCGAAGGAAGAGGGAGTTTGGTGGTGATCGGCGGCGGAGAAGGGGAAGAAGGTGGTGCTGCGCGAGGGTGGTGGCTGCCGGTGAAGGAGGAGGAGGAAGATGGTGATGATAGTGGAGAGCAAGGTTGAGGGTGAAAGCTGCCGTCGGGTTTGTGGGTTTTAGGTGGAGGTGCAGTGAAAGTGTAGCCTCGGCGGTGATGGAGGTGTAGGGTTCGGTGGTTTTCGGTCAAGTTTCGGTTCAGTTCTGTTGTAAAAATAAATCCCTAATCCTCCTTTTATAGGCTTCTGGCTAAACCCTACTCCTTGAAGAACAAGAAAACTTGTTTCCCAAATCATATCGGGATTAAAATTCTTATCCAATTCCAATCCGAAATCAGCCGCATAACCATAAGCTTCTCGGCCAATTTTCCAAAAACAAGAATCAAATTCCAAAATTGCATCATTGGCCCTCTAATTCTCTAAACTCATTAATTTTTTCCCCATCAATTGCTCCAATCTTCAATTCTTTCCCATTGAGTTGCTTTTAATTCGATTTTAGCTCAAAACTTCAACAATTATTCATTTGAGTACAATTCCTACAATTAAAGACAAAATCACATAAATAGCATATTTGTACTCAAAATATATTGCAAAAATCACAAATTAGGGATCTAATATATAGGTAAAATATAAGCATATCAAATAGCATCCCTGGATCATGTGAACCATTTTCTTTTCATTAGTAGTCAAAGGTACGTGCCAATTTTTGTTTATTAGAGTTAAAAAAACAACATTACTGCCAATTGTATTGCTTACTACTTCAATTTAGCTTATTAAAATGAATGGTTTTGGAAAACAAAGTTTGTTGAACAAATAGAATTTAGACTTGAGCTGGAATTGAAGAAGTCGATATTGTTCAGCCAGGTTGATTGCACAAGACATTTATTGTATAATGCAAGGATTGTCACTGGATAGTTGCATGAATTGACTTTTTCAGAAAATCAAAGCAATAAAATGAGGAAAATTGATTCGTGGAGCAGTGTCTTTCCGCAGAGAATGGAGCTAGTATTAGTCTTTCCTCGTTGGTTTCACCGTTAGCGGCACCATCATCAGCAAGTTTTTCCTCAAGCTCACTGAAGATGATGTTAAGAATTAATCCTCCTTTTGTGCAGAAGCACGAGAACCATTGATGAAGCACGAATATACCTGATGAATGATGACTCTAAATGACAAAAGTGTTTCTTTGATATTGCTGCTGCTTTTTCATCCTTCGTAAAATTTTTTTATTTTTTTTTGGATTGTTAAGCATGCAAGATATGTTGGTCTGACCGCATAACTTTCAGCTAATGTCTTTTAGGTTGAAACATATCTTAAACTCATTCGTTCATTTGACATCTATTCTATCACTCTTTTTGCCTGAATACCTCTACTTACCTTTATATCCGCTCTCTGCTTTTGTTCATTGTTTTTTCTAATAATTATACCATTATTCTATGTTGAAACAATCTGGGAGATGATGAAACAAGTAGCTATTTGTATTTTGAAAAAGTTCAGTGGTCACGAGGCACATAATTTCCATGCTCTAGGGAGAAGAGGGAGAGGAATCCATAAATTGGTTGAAGTGTCCAAAAAAAAAATGTTGTGCAAGCAATTCTATTTTATAAATAAATATATTTTTCTATGAGTTTTATAGAAAATATAAAGAAACGAGAAAAAAAAAAGAAATGAAATTTCATTAACGGATCTAATACAAGTTTCAAAAAAAAAAAAAGAAAAGAAAACAATGAAAAAGTGGAATTGGCAAAAAAAAAATCTTAAAAACTGAAAAACAAAAGTGGCTAATAAGCATCTTTGGTCAGTGCACGTTTCATCTAGGGATATCAGTTAATTGAGAAGTTAGAGGCATTTAGCCTCCTTTCGTTGTAATCAAAAAACAAAAAGTTAATTAACAAGTTAAATATCTATTTTAGTTAATAAGGGTAAAATAGAATTTTTAAAAATTAGCCCTAGACGGCTGGACCTAAGGAAAACATGCCCTGGATTCATTGAAAAAAGAAAAAGAAAATAATTGCACAAGAAGTATCAATCCTAAATCGTAATTACCAGAATGGATCGCTGGAAACGAACGGCTAAACCCTAACGACCTTACCGCCCACTTTCTCTTCCTTCGCCGGTGTTGGTATCGCTTTCGTCGCCGGTCAAATTGCTCCGGCCTCTCTGATTCTCTTTAGGCCTCTCGCTAATCACATACTGTCGGCTTGTACAAAGAGAAAATGGCTTCGAGGCCGGAGCTTCAAGCTCCACCAGAGGTTTTCTACAATGATGATGAAGCTCGCAAGTACACCTCTTCTTCTCGTATCATCGAAATTCAGGTGATTTTATTGATAATTTGAAATTTTGATTTTGTGTGTGTTTGTGTGTATGGTATGTGTGGATACATAAAGGATTGAAATGAGAAATTTCGGTCATTTCTATGCTTGTTGTAGGCACAATTGTCAGAAAGAGCTCTGGAATTGCTGGCTCTGCCGAACGATGGAGTGCCCAAGTTACTTCTTGATATCGGTAATGTTGTGCCTAACTTTTGTGTTTTTTAAATTTGGTTTCAGAGTCACATGCTCACTTTGATGGGAAATGGAAATGAAGTCTGGACTTTATGTGAATTGGAGATCTTCCAAGCTGGACTGATGTATTTTTTCAGTTGTATAGCATCTCTTTAGGTCAATTATACGTTATTGCTGGCATGTGGTCTCGAGTGCTCATCGTGAGAGCTGATGTGGTCTGCACCATCTTAATTTTTATACTATGTTTGTGTTTGAGAGTTTCAGTCATTCAGTGTCAGTGTGTGTGCTTTTTTGCTAGTAAAATTACAGTCTGCTTTCGCATGCATCCAAGTGAAGAGTGCTTTATTTTTAAAGATGCTGGAAACTATGCCTAATTTGGAACTAGGGCTTCAATCGTCATGAGTAAAATTATTGTTTAGAAGGCCTTGAACAGCCTACTATTGAATCGGATGTTGGTTTTGCAGGATATTTTACCAATATATAGTTAAATCAGTCCATGTAAAATCGATGGGTCGGAAATATAAAGGAGTATAAACATTCAGTCTGGACTTTTAGCTGTTAACATAGGCAGGTTGCCTCATGCTTTTATATGTTTGATGAGAAGAAGAGACTTGTTTTACTTATTGTTGAACTGGCACGTTGCGGCAATGGCTAGAAATGAATAGTCTGTTCAGTGGATCATATGTGACATTAGAATTTACATGGCCTAAATTTTCTTCATTCAGACAATAGATATGAATTTTCCTTGTCTTTCTTACTTTTGATGTGCTCTTACTTTTGATTTTATAGTACTAATTTTCCCATATTTTGTAGGCTGCGGCTCTGGGTTGAGTGGTGAAACATTGACAGAAAATGGACACCAGTGGATTGGTTTGGACATATCACCATCAATGCTCGGTATGTATTTGCACTATCTGAACTTCGATGATTCTACTTTTTGCATTGGTTGAGTGCTTTTTTTCTGAATATTTTTCTTTAATAAACCCAGATGTTGCTTTGGAGCGTGACAGTGAGGGTGATCTTATACTTGGTGATATGGGACAGGTATGGTCTTTTGGCAGCTTTAATTTTAATCTGCAATCTTGCCACGGTGTTCAATTTTGCTGACATTCTAGTCACTCACTTTCCAATGAATGAGAACTTGAGAATTCCAAGGGAAAAATAGATCTTTACTAGAAAGCTCAAACATGTATTTTCAACAGGATTTTTACGGCGATAAATGCCTAAGATGTCAATTGACCCTTGGAAATTCCTTTGTACCTATCATGCTTCAGCCTGATTTATACACCGCCTGTTGATCTCCAGGGTGTTTATAAGTTTGTGAACCATAATTGATAGCATGCTTCTTGGCTTCTTCATGATTTGAATTTTTACCATCCATGACTTGGTCCTATCATAAGTCCTTACAATCGCTTGTTACTTATGTTTTTATTTATACTTTTTATTAGGTGGTAAACATTTCCTCTGTTTTGTAGGGCTTAGGTATTCGACCTGGTGTTATTGATGGAGCTATAAGTATCTCAGCTGTCCAGGTCTGTTAGCACAGAATCTCTTTGCCTGCTGTTCCTCCCTAAATAATATCTAATATTACTGTTAGAAAACTTGTAATAGTCTTCAGTTCATCCCAAATGGGAATCTCAGTTGCTATTGTGCTTGCAGCCTTTTCACTTCAGAATACGTTTACATGATGTTATTTATCCTTGGAAAAGATTAGACTGCAGTTTCAATCAGTCCATTCTAAACTAAGACAATATTTCAACATAATTCATTTATTAATTTTGACTTCTATACTTTGCCTAACAGTGGTTATGCAATGCTGACAAGTCCTGTCACGAGCCTCGGAAAAGATTGAAGTATGTTCTTTGTCAAGTTGTTGACCTTGGAGTTCATATTGATTGCATTAATATCATGTTACAGCTCTAATGGTTTGATTGGCATGATATACAGGGCTTTCTTTGACTCATTATATAGATCTCTGGCGAGGGGTGCTAGAGCTGTATTTCAAGTATATCCTGAAAATCTTGCTCAGCGTGAGTTGATTCTAGGTTATGCTATGCGTGCTGGTTTTGCTGGTGGTGTGGTTGTTGACTTTCCGCACAGGTCCTCTTCTTTTACTCAAGTCAGAGATCTACAGCTGTCGATTTCTATTGGTATTCATTACTAGGGTTATGAAATGCTTACTCAAGGCAGATTTGTAGTTATATACTTAAGAGAAAGGTGGTTTTGGCTTGTTCTGTTCCCATATTTCAGCAATTAAATATATGACGAAGTGAAAAGATTGACATTTTATTGTGTCATAACCAGAAGATGACCTCTTAGAAATCGTGTATTCTCTGAATGCAAGTTTTCTTGGATCTGCTATCAGACAGATATTGTGGAGATATTGTGGAAGGCTCATGTTAGAAGTCTAGTTTCATTCTAGAATTATTCTGTTCAGTACAACTATTTGAGATGCTCCTTTTCTTGTTACAGTACCAAGAGAAGGAAAGAATACCTTGTGCTCACTTGTGGCCCACCATCCTTGAGCAGTGCCACCCCAAAGGCAAAAGGTGAAGACGAAGAGAGTTGCTCTGATGACGAAAGCAGTGATGATGAAGGAAATCAAACAGTGAGTATCAATTCACTCCATGATTGTTGGTTCTGTATGAAGGAGGATTATCTTTAATGTTTTGTTATAAAATGCGGGGTCATTGTTAATGTGTACTGTTTGTCTGCTATGATGCATGTAGGTATCAATCTCAGATAGACACAGACCCAGAAAGAAGCAAAAGTTGAACAAGAAAGTGAAGGGGAGAGAATGGGTGTTGAAAAAGAAAGAGCAAATGCGGCGGAAAGGAAATGTCGTTCCTCAAGATACAAAATACACTGCTCGTAAAAGGAAAGCCCGCTTTTGATCAGTTCCAACTTCTGCGGAAATGAGTTATTCTTCTCACCAGAGCACAGAAATCAACCATGGCTCTTTTATTGAGACGATCAGAGGAAGAGTTTGTTCTGTCACTGAGTTTTGCCGCATTTTTTTTCAGTGTGGAGCTGATGTACCTGTTCCAATGTAACTGTAGATTGATCTTCTCTTCTCTTCATTCTGTATTTCTACAATTAAATTGCGAAAAACACAAAGGTGTTGTTTTTAGTTTCTTATTCAATGATTTTTTACATTTGATTGATATTTAAGTGTCATAGTAAAGGTTGAAAAAAATATAGTAAATAAAAGGTGTTTTATATGTAGTTTTTATTTTCCTTTCTTTCTAATTTTACTTGCCAAAAATGGACAAAACGATTGCTACAAAAATGTATCATTTCATTCGATTCATTTGAAAAAATAAATTACAACTAAAGCGTAGTCTTATCTGAAGTTATAAATTTATAAAAAACTTTCTGAAGATGCAATTATCTAAACCACTGTGGATCATCAATGCCCGTGATAATGAGTCTAGAATTATTTCACTTTCAGTATAATTTGAACTAATCATAAGACAGAGAGAATATTTCTTTATTTCGGAATTTTTTGGAAACTAATGTTTAGTTGGTCGTGAGTTAAGCAAACAAAAAAATATATTTCCTTAATTTCGAAATATTCCGAAATTAATATCTAGTTGATTATATTAACGAAAAATGTTACATTTAGTTTTGAAATGATTTCTCCAATTTGGGACATGATGAGTATTAAAATCTTTTTTCTGTTTTTAGTTTTTTATTAAGATAGTTATTACTAGTGAAAAGTACCATAAGAGAGGTTTCTTGATTAAAAAAAGGAAAAAATAAAATAAAATAAGTACCACGACTAGAACTTAAGGGCCGAAAAACTGAGTAAAAGAAGAGGAGATCTGCTCATTCTCTTCAAGCGGTGTTTGTCGTTTGGCGCTTCACTATTTGAAGGCTGAAGCAACTGATTTGGTAGAAAGTACTTTTACTTTCCTTTCTTCCTGTTCTTTTTCTTCTTTTAAACCAAAAAAAAAAAATATCTTCCTTTTTCAATCCCGCCTACTCGTCTGCCCTCTGAATCGAATAGAGAGTTAGTTCTGTAATCTGAATTGAAAATTTGACAATGGGGAAATGGGATAGGAGATGGGTTCCAAGGAGAAGGAACAACAACAGGAGATACAAAGATTATGACTATGAAGAACCCCCACCGTCTCCTCCTTCGCCTCATCATCCTCAATCTAACCCTCCTGGTAATTTCGTTTGTTTAGACTTTTTATGGGTTTTTTTTTTCGGTTTTGATTGGGTTTAAGCATTTTTTTTTTACTATTAGTTTCAGTATCTGTTTTTGGCTTTATTTATGTAATTGTAACTTTGTGGAGTTTGGATGGTAGGATAGCGATGACCATTAGATTGATTTTGGTTAATCTTTTTGCTTTTATGGTTCAAGACCTTGTGTCTCAGATGTAGTATTTTCTCATTCTTTGTATTGTATTTCTATGTAACAGTAATTCGTGATGGGTCTGGATCATCGTGGGAAATAGAATTTTGTAAGTCGGTCCACGTGCCGTGGCAGAAGGTACTTACTGCTAAAAAGTATATGTATTGCCACGAAAACATACTTCAGTGGGATGATTCTGCCGGCGAACAAGCGTTTCACGATGCAAAGCGTACATTTTGGGAAAAGATTAATGGCCTTCCCTTGGAGACGCCACTTCCTGATCCTGATGTCTACATTGATAAAATTGACTGGCATCCCATAATTGATCCTGAACTCATAGCAGATGTGGACAGGGAGTATTTCCACCCTGATGAGACACGTAGTTGGTGCAAGTCGGATTGGAGAAGAAAAAAGTTTTATAACCAAGATTCTCTTTGTGATCCGGGTAGCAATAATAATAATCCTTGGGAAAAGGAATCTTCTCCGAGAATTGACAGTCTAAAGGGCCAATCAGAAAATTGGGGCCAATATGACAACTCAGTAAATGTGAAGAATGTAAGTGATCCATGGGAAGAAAGCTCCTCTCGGTTGGTTGATTCTTCGAAGAATTCTTCATGGACTAGACACGTGGATAACTCATCCGGCTGGAATCAGGAGCTAAAACATCAAAGGGAGTGCGCGGTCAGTAACAGGGCTAGTGACACTTCATGGAAACCTGGCAACAAAGATGGTAGATATGGTGTACAGACGGGATGGAAACAAGATAACCAGACTAGCACTTGGAAACAATGGAATGTTAGTCGTCATGATCAGCAGACTTCATTAGAGAATGCCAGATGGCAGGATGATTTTGTGCCACATACTAAAGCTGCTCCAAATAAAATTTGGGATAACAAACAGCTAAAGCGTAGCTTTGAAGGTTCCTTCGGAACTGATAGAGGATACCAGTCTGGTTGGAGGAAGAGGGAAGGGTGTTTCCAGAACAGCCAAAGGTACAAAACTTCAAGGTTTCAAGTTGATGATCATGGGGCTCGGTGGCAGAAGGAAAGATAAAGTAGTTATGTTTATTTCAACATTAGAGAATTACTTAGGAAAGCCACTGCTCTGAGTCTCTTATGGTAAACTCTTAAAGGGTTAGTGGATTTCACTGCGGATATGATTCACATTTTGTTTGTGTATCTTCTATCCCATTGCAGGCTGAGATATTTTAAGGAGCTCCTAGAGGTGGTATTTTGTTGTACTTTTGCCTTAATTGTGGTCACCTGCGGAGGAAATGTGTACAATCTGCTTTTGGTCTTCTTGGTGAGCTGCAAGCTTGTGCAATGTGGTTTGACCTTCTGCTCTGCTACTATCTGTAATAGCTATTTTTGCTGACATTAGTGCATAAAGATTGAAGTGAGGCATTTTTTTTTGGTTCCCCACTTTTCTTCGGAAAATATTTCTTATACAATGAAACATGTTATTATAGATTTACAACTATGCTTGTTGGAGCTAAAGCCAGTGATTCAAACAAGTCGATTATTTCAAAATTTATATGATTTTGTCAAAGTCTATTGTGTAATATTGTATAACCTAAAAATGAATCTCCTTTTGCACTTCCAAGGAGATGGTTCTTGTATCTGTGACTTATGAATTTGTAGTGTTGTTTTGTCTTTGCTTTATAGATGAGGATTTCTGTTACAAACTCCTATTGTGATCCACTTTCTGCAACTCTTTTAGCTTGTGTTGCATTGGAGGAATTAGGATAGTAGGATTTATCTTGAACAGACCTTTTGTTGCTGTTTAGCATATCATGTTCCCAATGGAACGGATCTTTTGCCTGTACTAGAGCTTGGTTGGCTGTCTGAATGATCTGAATATTAGGATTCTTGAGGCCGGGTGGAAACTAATTATAACAGGTGTAACTTGTATCTTTCTAATTCAGTTGTTAAAAATAAAAGTCCTTTTGTAACTTGCATCTTTCTCCAAGAGTTTCTTACCTTTGAACTTGAGCCATTTCATCCTTTCTTAGCCTTATTTGTCTCATTATACTCCTTCTGTTCAACCTTTGGTTGGTTTCGCTGTATCCCCTTGGTAAAACATGGCTGAATTTTAGGGCTAAGTTCGATTTCTCGAATAATATTTTAGGCCAACCATAATTCTATTTTATTTTATTTTATTTTATTTTTGTTGGTAAAAAGCACAAATATGCACGACGTTAGAAGATTATCTTCCTCTAATTCTACTTTGCTCAATGAAAGAAGAAACTTTTTAAGTTTTCAACTCGAATAATGTTGTCGAAGTACTAGATCATCGGAGAAATAGTGCTAACTATAGTGTATTTTGTCTATGCAATGATTATGGTAATCATTCAGTCGGAACAACAATATCATCCATCCCATGTAACAATAATAAGAATGTCATGATAGAATGAAAGGTAAGCAGAGTAAACCGTGAGCACAAATTATCCAACAAAAAATGAGGAAAACACAGGTTATATAAAAAGAAAAATGTCTTAAGAATATTGATTACATTGTCAATCTTCTATACACACCCAAAAACCAGTTTTATCCCAAAATTCCACTTGTCAAGCTATCCTTCAAAATCTATCTATCCCTTTTACCCTATTAAAGCAGAAAACAGGATGCTGATGTGGCAATTTCTTATTAAAAGATTTTGGCTTCAAATGCACCATATTGCATAAACCATTCTACCACGTGTCAACTCCTTTTAAAAACAAAAAATATATTTACAATATTAACGAAGAGATCAGATGGCTATGTTCATTCAAATTTTGAATTTGACAGTGAATGGAACTTTTCTCCACTTACTTAGGACTTTCTAAAAAATTAATTTTCGATCAATCAATTATCTTCATAAAAAACTAAATTCATTCCTAATTAGTTTTGATTATTTACATATTAATTTATTAGGTGGGAGGACGCTCCGGGACAAGCATCTAGTACACTTTATTATAGCAAAAACCAGTTTTATCCCAAAATTCCACTTGTCAGACTCTCCTTCAAAATATCCATTAATCAAGTTCTTATTAAGATTTCTTTTAAAAAAATCCAAAAATAAACCCCCTAAACCCCCACGATAAAAAGAAACTGTTAATGATCAGTTTTCTCCAGGCGTTCATCAGCATCGGATTCAAGCCTCAATTAAAACTTCTCCCAAAATAACTTCTCATTCAAGTCACCAAAAAAAAAAAAAAACCAATCATGAATAAACCAAACTGAGATATTCTGAATATTAATTCAAGCTAAAAAGCAAGATGACAAGAATAAGAAAATTTTATGTGAGTATTCTAGCGCAAAATCACAGCAAAAGCAAATGGATCACCCCATCACTCTCAAAATTGAGATCGTCGCCATCATAAATAATTTATCGATGATGTCAACCCCAAACGTTATGAAGGCATCAAAGGTATTGTTATGCAAGTTTTCATTTTTTATCCATTTTTATTTCTTATTTAAGTTCACGATAGTAAGTACTTTCATAAGCCTCATTGGTATGCTATGTTAATCATCTCCAAGAATCATGTAGTTGAAGGTTAGCTTTGTTACATTGTACTTATTATACTTGAATTCGGCGATATATTTTGTATATCTACTTGGAGAAACACTTTAGCTTTACTATTCATAATCAAATCATTATGCAAATTAATGTCATTGCAAGGATTGATGTTGTATCTCGGCATAGTATGACTTCATTGTTATGTATCAAAATTTAGGGAGCAAAGCCTTTCACTAAATACTGTGTATAACTTTTTGAAGATTCCCAAGAAAAGATGATTTTAAAGAATCAGTCTTTTCAAAATTGAACATCTTCAATAAGTTTCATTTGAACATAATGTAACTGCTTCAACACTTTAATTATTTGATATCTTTTGTTTAATTTCGGTAAATTCTCTTCAATATTTTAGTCTCTCTTATCCAAAGGTTTTTCTTGAATTTCATTAGTTGCACCTACAAAATGCAGCCACATGCAACTAATTATAACATAATATTATTTCAAATTATTAAATGTAAAAAAAATATTATCCGATCATATATCCGTGCGAATTTATAGATCTAAGTGTCATTATTTCCTTAAAAGTCTCCTCTCCAAATTTCTATAAAAAAAAAAGAATTAAAAGTTAAATAAAAAATTCGAATGGCAGTTTTATACACCATAAAAAGAACTCTTAAGGGCAGTTTGCGATAGTCAAAAAATGAAAAATAAAAAATGCTCTAATCTTCATCCAAGTGTACATTTAATTGCAGGAAAAGTCTCCTAAACACAAAAGGAAAATCAATATAAAAGAAAACAAAAATTAAAGACGGGTTATTTCAGATCTCTAAATTTAGCTAATTTTAATACACCATTGATGTGGTCTAAAAAGTTAATAACGGTGGGTATAAATGTTTTATTTCTTACTTTGAGGAAAGTTGCCTAATTTGGGTCCTCTAATTTTTATTTTTTAAAAATATTCATATTATAGTTGACCATAGTCATTTTGGGTTATTGGTGTACTTTTTAAGAAGTAATTTAGAATATTATTGAGTAAATCATTATATAATACTCCCTCCGTCCCATAATTATGTCTACTTTGTCCAAAAAATTTTGTCCCAAAATTATTGTCCAATTTGACTTTTTATGGATCAAGTTACACATTTGCCCTTAATAAAAAACATTATCCATAAAATCTTAGTGGTTAAATAATTACTTATATATGGATATATCCGGTTGTTTAAGGTAAAATATAGTTAAGTTTGACTAAAAATAAAATCCTTCATTTTAATAAAACTGGACAATAATTATGGGACGGAGGGAATACTATTTTTTTTTTCAAAAAGGGACATAATAAAAATTTACTTTTATTAATTATATTTGAAAATATAATTAACTAAATTCATAAAAAATTCATACCCGTGCGAACCTAGTGATTGGTTTATTGCACAAGTTCCACCGCCTTGAAGATTTTTTTTTTTTCTTTTCCATTTAACAACAAACCAACCACTCAAAACCACCAAGAAAAATGGCAACTTTAAGGTTTATCCCCTCATCCACCTCACTCTCTTCCATTTCTCCTGCTACTCACCACAGTCATCATCACAGACCTCCATCACAATGCTTTCCGTCAATGGCATCATTCCCCAATTGGCAAAGACTTAATCTTGATGTGGGTTTTCAAAAACAACAACAGAGAAAGAGCCAAAATAGAGGTTCTCGGGTGATTACATTTGCAGGTCCCAGCACCACTACCTATATCTTCGCCTTCGTCTTCCCAATGTCACTTATTGCTGTCACCGTCTTCACTTCTATCAAAATTGCCGATGAGCTTGACAGGAAATTTCTTGAAGAGGTAAATTTCAGACACTGTTTTTTTTAAAAAAACGAATTTGGGCCTTTTCTGAGTTCATACATGTTTGGCTTGACTTTTGATTTTGATGGGATTCTTTGTTAGAGTTTGAATTGATCCGGGCTGCTTGTAATTTCTGCTGTTTAGTCTTGAAGTTTGTGCTACTAAGTATGCGATAGAAGATGGGATGAAGAGTTAATTGTCTGTATTGTTCTCGAAAAGGTTTAGTGGCTATGTATTCAGATATTTATCAGTTATTATTAAATATAGCTATTTTGGTTCATTGAGATTTTGTGTATGATTTCATCTAGAGAGTAATGCAGAACTTTGTTATATCGATTTTTGTGGTTAAAAAAAGTGCCTCTTCTGGGAGTATTATTGGGAAATGGAAGGACATTAAAGATCATTTCTAGAATGTCACACAAAGTATTGGTATCAATGATGCAAAAAATGTTCTTCGTCAGTTGTAAGCTTGGAGATATAATTTGTCTTAATGGAGGTGTATGTGCTAATTAAGCATTTTCTGGTATGATGCAAAAAGATTGTTGACAACTGCCTATTCTTGGGTCTAATCTTTTTGATACATTTAGAAACTACAGTTGCTTATGTGTTTCATAACTCGCGACAACAATGAAGAATCACAATGTAAAAATATTTCATCTACTTTGGCAGTTTTTCAGGGAAAGTAAAAAAGTTCTTTAAAAGTTCAGTATGCCAAGAGATGACTTGTTCTGTATTGGAATAGTTGATTCTTGGTGATAGGCTAGTGAAGTGATTGCTTGCAGAAATTCTGTGACGATGTACATGTGTCCATTAAAATTTCCTGTCCTTTAAAATTTAAATTAACTTTGGTTCTTTCACATCACGCATGCTTAAAAAGTGAATTTGTGTCATTGTTGAAGTAGCGATTTCTTCCGTTCCTTTAGTGAGAAATCAACACGACTCAATTATTTCAAGTCTTTGTTCCCCTTTGCAACTTTATATCAATGGCTGGTACTGAAAGATAGATCACAAATCGTTTAGTTCATCTGTTAGGACCAAATGCTGTATAGTTTTCTGTATTTCGTGCGTGAAAGATGTTATCAAGATTTCATGAATGTTGAGGGCTGTATGTAACAACTCATCAATGAGACCTCCCTTGCCATTGTTTCTCTCCCACTTGATCTTGGAAACTGCCCAGATCAAGTGGAAAACTATTTTTTTTACGTGAAACTGTAAGACTATTTTTTTTTCTTTGATTAACAGAAATCGGTCAAGTCAATCACATTTGGTTTGTGAGTTCATTTCCATTGTTTTGAGAGGGCTTGCATGTTTCTTAAGACGGTTTTTGAGATCATCAGAGAAGTTGGCATGATTTAGGAACTCTTGTATAATTGCTGTGCCGAATTCTGTGATTGACTCTTGTTCTTCCCCAAACCAGGTTGCACTTAATCAGGAAATAATGGAGTCAGAAGAGGGAGGTACAGAACCTGTTCCCCTGGATCTGGAAAAGCCAGAAGTTCCACGTAAACGTAACAGGCCAAAGAGAGAAGTAGAAGCTTCTTCCAGATAGAAATATTTGTGCCGTCTTCAGAGATAACTGAATGCTGGGACATACTCAAGCTAACAACGTTTGCACTGACTTGATGGGGTAGTAATGATGGAGGTGGTGATATTGCACGGCTTGCAATATTGAAGTTCAAAAGCTTCCCAGTATTTAGATCCTTTGAGAAACTTAAGTCTGTTTCTCAAAATTTATAGAACCCTTGGATATGTTAAAATGGATCATAGGCCTGAAACTATTATTAGGTAGTTTTTGGGAAGCTTGCATCCCTGATAATGTTCTACACGTGCAACTGAGATGATGCAAAATTTTTCTTTTTGGGGCAAGTTTATTATAGCGTATACTAACGTTACTGTGTAAAAGTAAAACTTTGTAGAAGCAAAGATTTTCACTGTTAGATCATCCTCTCGCCATAAAACCCTCCAGTAAAACTGGACTGTGCTGGTGATAATACCAGCCATCAATCTATTCAGAAACCAATCAAACAACCTCAAGTCCCCAAATTAGTACCATTTAAACCCTACCCCAATGTTCGCTTGGCCATCAATGTCTGCTGATTGATGGTAGGTTAGATTGTTGGCAAGATTTTCTGCACTGTGAAGATTGAAGGGATTTAATGGTAATCTGACTAGATCATGCTTACAATTAAAACACGTTGAACGCCAACATCCCATCTTGTGAGTAATCTTCATGCCCAAGTGATCAAATGTATGTAAGAAAGCCAACTTCTAACTATAAGTTCACTGGCACTGTACATCATCACATCCTCTCAAAATACACCCATGTTAGATAAAAGTCTCTTCCTCCATCCCTATAACTCTGTACATCAATGATAAGAACTTTGCACCTATGGGAGTTGTAATCCCCAAAAAAAGGAGCACCTAAGATAGCCTCCTCTCAGTCTCACCCTACCTTCAATTCCAGCCATCTTCCTCAGTCCTCTCTTTCTTTCTATCTCTCTGGCATCTCTTCTGGTAACCAAAATGTACATTCCGCTTGGGTAAAATGATCGGGAAAAGCCATCTAACCGAACCTAGAACAAACCCCTACTCAAATATGCTATCCTGAAATCTTCCCTAATTCATCAAACTGAGGCCACATCCACCAGTCCAACATATTAAAATGGGAAAAAAGCAGTAGCACTTCAAGCCGGGAGAGTGCTCTCAAGCTTCGATCTTCAGGTCGTCATCCATCTTAGGGGGTGATAAAGGTGGTACAGCAGCTTCATGATAGCTACTGGTTGCAGCATCAAAGATTCTTCTGGCTGTTGCCTGGTACTCTTTACTTCGACCAACCTTTCTGGAAGAAAGTGATAGAGAGGAATCAGCCTTAGTTGAATTGCTGCTCTCAATTGATGCTAGGAAATTGTCCTTTGTAAGAGATGCTTGCGCCGATGCTATGACTGAGCCAAATACACCTGCCTCTCTCAAACCTTGGATAATAACCTGACCGATTCAAATGACACCAGGTTGACAGCCATGAAATCAATTACTAAATGAAAAACAGAGCAATAATCTAAACCTTTTCAAGATAGTTATTCACCCGCTCTAAATGCATTTAGTTTCTCCTTTTGAAACATCTTGTAAATAAAAGAAATTAAATGCAAAACAGGAATCAGAAAACCAAACATGCGGGGTTGATATACTTATGTTTCGTTACATAAGAACTTCAGTTCAACCAAAAGATTCCTAAGGTTCATTACCTTAATTTCTAATTCACAAACTTAAATATTGAATACCGTAAAGAGTGTTAATTAAATTAAAAAAAAAATTTAAGTGTCGACGACAAGTACATAAAGCTTACCATAGGAGCATATATGCGTGTCAAGATACCCTTTCTCAAGAGTTTCAGATTCAAAGTTTTGTCCGTCCACACAACATGCTCATTGTACCTGAAAAAGCAAAAAATCATTCAAATTCAATGGATATCTCCAAACCTAATACTACTAGATAACATCACATATAACACGCAAACTATGACGTGAGTTTTCTTTCTCATCCCAGAATTTACTAGAGTCGAAAGAAGCTTCAAAATACCAGTTCAGCATTTCTTCCTCTGTTGCTGTGGAAGCAATTATGAACGCCTACAGACACAAGGTAGCAGATGGATTAAAGCAGTATGGTTATAAAGATGTATAAGAAGAGTGAATAATAAAAGAAATACATCTAATTCACATGGTGTCTGTACGAGTTATATCTCATCATCACATTCCACCAAGAACATATCAGTTAAGCTTAAATGTATCACATCCTTCATAGCTTCTTACAAAATCATTTAGATCTCCCTACTTTCATTTTAATTATCATCTATTTTACGAAAATGCACAGTAGTCATATATGCCAACAATAGTTTTTCAAGTACAGGTATACCCAACTTAAACTAAATGAACAAATAAAAAAATTAAATCTTACAGATCTGTCAAATTCCAACATGAAGCATCGTTTGACATCATCCTTTGTAGGCTTACAGCCACATCGATCTCGCCTGGAAGTCAAGTCTGAATATTTGGCGTACGTGTAATGCAACACAGCAGCTTCCTCCAGTTTAATCTCACTGTCACAATTCAAATAGTTATCATTATTAAAATGACGAGAGATAATTCAGCTTTTGCAGAACTATGTCAGAAAAATCTCGGAACTAAATAGAGATTAAATGAGCAACAGGGTCAGATATGCAAAAGGGCCTGCCCTCTTAATTAATAGGTGAAATGTAAAAGTTGGGAAATGTACTTGGGAGTTTTCATATAGTTGTGCCATCGGTGGGCACCGTTAGGGCGAAGATGATCTTGAACTCGAGCAGCTGATTTCCCATTTCCATAGGTCAAAAAGTAATTCGGGTTTCCGCGAGTTGCCTCTTTATACATGCCAAAATATGTATCTTTCGTTAAGTGGTCATAATTCTTCTTGAACATGGATACCTGTGTCACATTATTCGGAAGAGAGAAAAATTATCAGCTAGGACATAATTTTTAAATTTCCAAGTTAAGCAACATCAAAGGAGTAGCATAATCAGTTGAGAGAGACAACAAATATCAGTATAACCAAAGCAGCCACTACAACCAATCAATGTTAAAGGATCTATATACAACTTATAGAGGTTGGACCGACTATCAACCAGCCATAGCTAATTTTCTCATTTCCTTCAACTTCCTTTACACAATTTGAGATCAAAGCGGGATCCTAAAGAGCAGTCCATCAAGACCAAATGGAATTCGTAAAAATTTTCTAATACCATGGATGCACAACATAAAACTTTGCAACTTATTTATTTACATGCATCAGGCAACTCAAGCTAAAAGCATGACTTCTACAAAAAAGCAGAAAAGACTGCCACATACAAGAATAACACTTAATGAAGTACAGGATCTACCTCAGTAAAAGGTTCTTTGATGTCATCCCTTTCCACACTGCTTTCCTGTTAAAACATACATAAAAATGAATAAAATAAAACCTGACCTCATTTTGAAGCACACCAAACAATTAAACAAGAAAACATCAGACAACTTATTTATTCAACTTACATAGTTTGGAAAGATAACCATGTCAACATTACTAGGAACATCAAGCAGCAACTGCCGCAAAGAGTACTCACGCGCACCAGCAGGATGCAGTAACTCATCAGTATCAAGATGTATAATCCAATCCAGACCAGCATCCTGCCAAAATTTAAACGGGTCCATAAACATCACCATAAAAGCGTGCATCATCATTTATGTTGATATAGCGTGTAGGAGCGACTACAGTTGACAAACAAAGATAGATGACAAAGGATCATCACTCCCTGAGATTTACTTAACCTTGATTTTGATTACGTGAAATGCATTACGGTATAGATGTATAAGACGGTATAAAACCTACAGTTTACTTCCAGTTACACCTATAGATGTATAAGACGGTTTAAGTTCATTGTCTGATCGCCTTTTCTCATGTCAGGTACATTATTCCTGAAGTTAGGGGTGATGATCTTCTGGTATCCAGATTGGATTAAGACACTATATACATGGTAAAAGGTCAATCTGAAACCAACCCTGTTTGACTGCTATTTTGAATGCCTCCACCTATGTAACTTGCTCATTATCCAAAACTAACAAGAACGGTCTCATTATTGAACTGGCTAATGGCCAACTCATTAACCTCCATGTATCTTTTACAGATTATGAGTAGCAAAGGTCCACACTAACCTAAGTGACCCACATATGATATAGGTCAATTTCATCTTAAAATCTCGAGATCATCCAATCAACCATTTCACTCCAAAAATTTTCTAAAATCTAAACCGTAAATAACCTATTCACTAGAAAATCAGAAGTTTTTAAACAACAAGAACAAGTACTCATGGCAAGATACTAATCCAGAAATAACATTATCTAAAATGTAATGTTTTAATCCTTCAGGTAATGGAATAATGCTGAGATGAGTTCAGCATTTGAAATCTTTTTTCCAACCATAACCATGCACTAGAAAGGTATATAAAGGCACAACAAGAGATAAAAGAGCATGCCTACCCTCGCCATGACAATTGCCATCTCCATATTAAGCGATTGCTTCACAAAGAGCTCATAATTGCATGGCTTGTAAAAGAAACTGGAAAGCCATGTTTCATTCCAGATACGGCTGCAAAGGGGAAAAGAAAAAGGTTTTACCAAAAATATAGAATCCATGAAAGCTCTAGAGAAGCTTTATGGCATGAATCATAGAGAGATTGATTGTAATTTCAAACAGCAATTTGCTTTCCTTTATTTCTTATCCTTTTTCAGTAAAGTAAGAGTGAAATTAGAAGGTAGATATTTATCAGAACCAAAACATCAATTTCCTGTTACATCTCTGCCACTTTGTTCTGTAAAACAATGGTAGGATGCAAATTAAGTTTCTAATCCAGATTGCCAGTCCTCATTATTATTATTTTACGATATAAAGAGATAGAAAAGACCTCTTTGCCTGTTGATCTTCAAGTTCTTTGGTTCGGTAGATTACTTTTACTCCCTGTAGACCATTAAAAAGACAAACATGTTAAGGAGAGGAAACCCACAAATTCTCTTCAAAGAACCAAAAGGCTGAGATCCTGAAACCAAGAATTACAGTATGCCAAGATACAAGGTGTACTACTTCGTTCATGTTACAGCTGCTTCTTTCATCCCGAGGCGTAAATGAAAAATATGAACATTCAATCTTGGAATGAAGAACACAGACTTTTCCAGTGATGTGCAAGTATTGTCCAGAGAAAAGAGAACGATGCATTTCTGAAAGAATTGTAAGAATAAACGAGTAGATGCGTGGGGAAATATGAAGCCATACATCTAAAACGAACAAACTTCATTATTTCATGCGAAGAGTGCCCACAGGAGAGGAGATGAGAAAAAAATAATAGAAAAAATGACAACGGAAAACAAGATGGCCCTCTTGCATGATCTTTTATCATAAAAGAGGAAACTAACGGTGCAATTTCATCTATCAACAAAATATGATTCATCTCTTGTCTACCCATTACTTCTTTCATTCTGAAATTACATTAGATATCTATCTAACGCCTGAGGCTCTTCAGGCAAGTCAAAATGAAAAGGTGGGTTATAATTCAAAACCACCAAACTACAAGTCGCATGAAGGAGAATACTATAGAAAATACCCAAAAGAGAGGAGTAGAAACTTACTGGAATGGATTCAAGGACTTTAGAGACCGCAGGAGATGCAGCTTTACCCTCCACGAAGAGAAAGAAATTTGAAACACCAATAACTTTATGATAGAACATCCATGGGAGAATCTGCTCCAAGCTAGCAGACGTACTAGTTGTAACACATATCTGTGATCAAAGCACAAGAATAACACACAATAATTACATTTCCACTCCTGGAACCATATTACAACTTCACAAGCCAACTTCGCATGTCTGACTTTCAGAAAAGATCAAAGAAAACTAGATCTTAGACTAACAAAAACTAGATCTTACACTAAAGTTTCTTGACCTACATGGCTAATGGATATTTTTTATCAAGTCAGAAACTCAGTCCACTGATCTTTCTCATTAAATCCCCAATTCTACAGAAATAGGTCTTATGAAACTGTGCAATTTCAGTTACTACTATTCAACGAACAGGAGACGATTAGGCAATAATTCAAAGTTGCTCAAACAACTAAGATGGCTGATCCTTTAAGTTATCTCCTTCTTCAGATAACGTCCAAAGATATTACCCGAAAATGGTAAAAAAAAAAAAAAATAACCCGCATTTTACTCCAAAGCGCACTGATCGAACAAGAAAAAACTCAAAATGACAAGAATAACGTATCACAGAAAATTAACCCATTCCAGATAAGCTCAGATAATGAAACCCTCCAAGGGATCGCAAAGGAACTTCCAAAAATTTTCCCAAAATAGGAAAAGCCAAAAACAGTGTTACCTTGGGCTTAAGATCTGCTTGGAAATTGAACTTCCAGTCCCTGTAATAAGGAAACGACAACCTATTGCTGTTTCCCAGAATCGAAGAACAATCAGATGACTGAGAAGAGTGCGCTCCAACAGTGGCCAACGGCGAGCTGTCCATGCCGGGAAACTTGTGGGACTCCTCCGGCGACCACCTTGAGATGGGATCGTCCACTCCACCACCGCGCCATTGAAGGATAAAGGCGAAAAGGGCAAGCGTTAGTGGTAATAGAGTTAGGAGGAGAAGGAGCTTCGAAATGAAGGAGTTGAAGGACGCAGTTGCAGAGGCGGAGGACGGCGGTTGTAGTCTGGCACCCGCCATCGCGTCTGTGAGTGTGTGTGTGTGTGAGAGAGAGAGAGATGAGAGAGCTTCAGTGTTAGGAAAACTTGAAAGGCAAAAATAAGTACAAATAAATTTCAGACTGTCATTTCATTTTAGTCCCTAACAGTTGTGTGTTTTATAAATTCAAGTCCTTTAAGTTCTTACAAAATGCTTTTACCTCTTCAAACAAATAAACACTCCCGCTTGAGGTTTCTGTACAATATTCTAGAACTGAGAAGCTAAAACCTTCATCAATGGAGTCTTTGCTAGGGTTTAAGGATCAACCCAGTAGCGAAGTCATATCAGTCAAATCAGACTGCAGCTTTAAACTGGTGCCATGGATTAACTGGGAAGAGTGGGACTTCGTCAAATCCTCACTTTTTTCTTCTACTCCACAATCCATTGCCACAGCCCTTCAAAGGGTAACGTTACCCATCATGCATTTTGTATTATTCTTGATTGGTTTTTTAAAAAATTTTTATTTATCTACTAATTTATTTTGTTCATCAATGTTGGCATTCGGGATTTTCTCAGATAACGGCGTGGCGAAGCAGAGGATGCCTTCCCGTGGTGATTGAAGTTACAGCATCTATTATTGAAATTCAGCAGAAAGATCCTTATTTTAGGTGACTTTCTTTTTTTGATTATATGTAGTTTTCATGAGAATAATTTGTTCTTCTTCTGTTGGTGATTGTAGTTTTTGAATTTGGATATTGCAGGAATGACTTAAGTGGGAAAGCTTTAGATTCTGAGGATATGCTGGCAATGCTATATTGTATGGCAATAATGAGGTAGCTTTTTCTAATTGGCTGTGTTTCTAAAATTCAATTTGTGATTGAACAATTAGTTGGTATAGCTCCATGATGTTTGGATAGTGTTCTGCTTTACGTTAACAGTATTATATTTGTTCGAGAGTTTTCATTGAAACTCAGAAAGGATTCACGAGTAAAGAACGAACCGCGGCACCTTTTTGTTTTTCGTAAACAGCAAAGAGGGGTACTCAATTTGTATCTCTCTTGGTTAATAGAAGTGTAACCATGTATATTCGGGTGTTAGTTATATGATCTTGATAGTGAAACTCGGCCCAAGAGTGAATAATAGCAAGCTTTTAGTCTTAGAAGCTCATGGAGGGGGTTTGAAACATAGCCAGTAAGTATAGCATCCACCACTCTGTGAATAATCAAGAGTTAGATTTCAATGACTTATGAATGTGTTCTTGTTCTCTGTCAGGTTTCTAGCTGAAACTTTAACTGTCTAGAAACTACAGTACTTTCTTAGGGGGTGGGGTGTGGGAAGCAAGCAAAAGGTTAATTGTGTTAAAACAGGTGCTACATGCTTCCGGTTTGATGATTATGGCCTTTAACTCAAGACACTATAAGGCTGACTGTAGTTGTTTTGGCAGTTCAATGTTCCAGTTATAGAATTTTCAAAGTGCGCTCAAGAGCATAGTAATTTGAACTTTGTAGTGATCAAATATGGGCATATCTCATCTAGCATTTTATGGTATTGTTTATCTCTAAAGCCGTGGAAGCTTTGTAAATTTTAGTTCTTCTCCTTATCAGTTGTCATTTTCCTTGTTAGCTGTCTATTACTAAACTGAAATTGGTCAACAGTGAACAAGTATCCTATTCTATTATGTCTGTTGAAGTATCTGGTTTGTATACATGGCCCCTCATCTTCCTATTCCAAGAAAGTAAGGTTTCACATTTATCATTGAAGGCTTGTCAATGGAGTTATTGAGAAGACTCGCAAGAAGAAGGAGGTTTCAATAGCAGACGCTGCTGGAGCTATTGGCATTCCTCGTCTGTTGATCGATATTCGGCATGGTAGGCAATTTAATTCAGGCTCTTTATTCTGCTGTGTCAAAAAATTATGTTACTTTATATAACACGTCAGACATCGTTGCTTTTGTACTGCTAACTTTTTATGTCGGTCCAAATCTGATTTGGTATGTGGTATATCGAAGATTATGATATTTGGTTGCATTCTTGATCATATGTGTCTTCCTTGTCTTTTTCCATTGAATGTCATGCACCCATCTGTTCTAAACTATGTCCACTTGGTTTTCAATTTTAAAGGAGGTGTAGATTAGTTTGACTAATAAATGCTTTTACCCTGTGGCTTTCCTTACTTGTAGAGAGTTCTCATCGTGATCTCCCTTCTCTTCACCTTGTCCGGCTTGCCTCTGTAAAGGTATGAGTATTATCTGAAATGGACTCATATGCTGTAACTTAATCTTATAGAATTGCATATGTGATGTATGTGTTCAAGGGCATTGTTAAACTGTTGTTATTTTGAGTTATGTATATTCAACAACATAACTAAATTTGGTTACTTCTGAATTGATGTAAAAGTTCAAAAAAGTTCAACCATATAACTCAACGTTGTTATTTCTGATCAAAAGAAGTTGTTTCTCTGACATTTCTTAACATCATTTAATCTCTTTAAGGCAGTTGATTGGTTGAAAGCATACTATTGGGAACCTCAAAAGAATGCTATTCCAAATCTAGGAGATACAGCTACAAATCGCCGATCAGAAATCAAGCATAAGTTATTGGAATTAGCTTTCTGCTTGAAAACAAGGAGGGATTCTAGATCAGATTCTACTATAGTCAAAGGGAAAAGTAAGTGTATATTTTTTCTTAACTTTTTCAACCCTTCATATTTTGTCAGTTTCTCATCTTGTCTTCTGAAGGTTATAGTTTGGGATACTTTCTACTGTTTTATTTATCTGATTTGTTGATTCTTCTCTATTAGACGAGATGTAATAGGTGGTGTTCCCCTTCATTGCTGTATCTTTGCTAAATTTTCAGTCTGTGGACGAATTGATGGAGCTAGATTTCTTGTCAATTAGCCTTCTCTCTAACTTTTGTTCACCTGGTTGGTTATAAAGTTCTAATGTCATGTCTCTTTCTTCTTTCTACCCGTTTTGAGCGCCCAAGACAACAAACTTATATGTACACCTTAAATTTTGAACACCCAGCTTAGGGGAGCGCAACGATCTAAGGGAGTCTTGCCTATATTTTTTGACTTGTTGGTATAGATGAGGAAAAGGGTAGCTTTCAAACTCACTTTTGGAATCTTGTACGTCCAGAGTGATTATTTATTCTTCCGATTCTGCATTTACTGCTTTACATGAATTTTTACTTGAGCAAAAAAGATGTGCCCCTAGTAAATTTCTTTCATCGCTGGCTGTGAAGCTCACATTTTTCTTACATTTTTTATAATTTATACTTTCATTCAGTGCATGTTCAACAATTGCCGTCAAATTTTTCCCAGTAGAGCTTTGGAGGTGATATAGTTTACTATTGTGCGTACCAATTGGGGAAGATTGATAATGAACAAGATGTTATTTTGTTTGAGCTTCTGGCAGTTTTTATGTTATGATGTTGAATTGATTTTCCGAGGTTGATGAATCCAAGTGTCACTGCTGATTCTCTCATGACATGTACCGCCATCTCTATAAGTATCATGAGTTCACGAAAATAAATTGCTTTAGTTTATGAAAATTGCAAATAATTTAATCAGTTGGGAACAAATTTTTGACTCGTTGCAAAGTGTTGTTACGTTATGCTATATAGTCAATATGTCCCATTTTCGAATGCTCTTTGTTCTTGTTCCTGAACTGGTTATCCTGGATGAGACAAGGAGATATTTGGTTCCCTGTCCCATAAGTTGGTTTGAACATTTTGTTAGTGTGAACCCTAAAAGTTGATCTTCCATAGGGTTAGGCTATTAGGCTTTGCTTTGCATATAATGTTACTTAAATTGTGTGGATGGATATGGCCATTTTGGTAGGATCTTAAAGCTCTGGCATGTAAAAACCTTCTTTTCCTCGTATAGGAGTTGCTGGTGCTTTGATTTTATTCCTTTTGTTCTGTAATTTTGTTTTTATTGTTATTTACCATTGAAATTATCTTGAAGCTGGTGAAGTTGTGAAGAACTTGAAGTTTTGCAGTGCTTGTGCTTGCTGCTGCATTGATTATGCTCCTTTTGTTCATTGATTTTTTTTCAGTGCCATCTACGATAGTCAGGAATTTGACAAAGTTGTTGTCAAGACATTGAAGTTTTGCATCAAAAATATTTTATTCTGACTCATCAACTTAGAGAATCATTCGGCAATTAATTTTATAATCCCTTTGCTAGTCATTTTTCTATCTTTTTTTCCCTTCTGAACATTTTGGGATATCTGTTCCTAAATTTTCAGCATGGTAAAAGGACAAATTACTACCCTTAGATGATATGAGTTTCATTACTGTCAAGATGAAATTAGATCTCAGGTTAAACCTTAGGGTTTAACCGATTCAGTAGATTCCTTGCATTCAACTTCATTTGTAATAAAATGCTTAGAGCATTCGCTTACTTGAGCAGGAGATATGGATGAAATGGACCAAAGATTTGGTCAATGTGTTTGAAGTATGTATCTGTGGTGTGAACTAAACAGATGTCTAAAGCTTAATGTGTTTGAACTATGAATCTGTGGTGTGAACTAAACAGATGCCTAAAGCTTTCCAGTTCAATCTCATTTGAATAAATTTGTGTCTGATTGGATTTGTGTACAATCAGGTTCCAAAAAACAGGTAAATAAGTTGGTAAAGAATGTGATTCGCTTCTATTCTTCTTCCTCTGGAGAAGTAGTAGAGGTGCTATTGGAACTCTTGCTGTCAGCATTAGATTCCTTAGACTTGGTAGATACCCCGGAAGATCAAGGGAACAATCACACAGCTGAGAAAATGCCGTCAGCGTTTGCTCTATGGAAGTCTGTTCTCCATAAACTCTTACTCAAGCAACCAGAACTGGTATGGGGTCTTCTAAATGCATTTATCGGAGCTCTCGAGACCCAAGCCATGAAATATCAAACAGGTACATTTTAATAGTGAGTTTGAACCCAATCACATCTGTATTTGCTCGTTACTTTTCGGGCCCAAGTAGCTATATATTCGGTTAAAAGTTTTGTTGTCTCATAAGTTGCATTTTATCCTTCCAGTTACTGTGTTGTTATGATGTATTTTCATTGATGACCCTCATCAGACAAGCATTTTTTGACAGATCCTGGAGCTCAGTCGCGTCGTTCTGAACAACTTGTTATCCTGATTGAGTGGGTTATCCAGAATTTCTTAAAATCTCCTTGTCTTAGTGATTCTGCGACTGATACTGAATGGTCTACTATGATGAAGAATTACTCCAAGGCTGCTAGATTTGAACTTCTTCGCAGTTGCCTTGTTGCGACCTCCCATGGCAACCCCCAGTTGAAGTCGTGTGTTCTTGCCCTTGCACGTATGATGGAAAATCAGCCTCTATTATCTAAACTTGAAAAATTCTTGGCAATTGCTGTACCAGATGTAAACGCCGATGAAGCATCCTCCTCTGATGATGGTATTTCAGAAAGTTTCCTTTCTCATCAACTAGAAATGATTAATGAAGCTGCAGGAAAATTGGAGAAACTAAAGAACCATCTAAAGAAGAACAACAGAGTGGAGACACAAATTGACGACGGGAAGAAGGGATGGGTTAAAGTTCAATCATGGAGGCCATGCCCTCTTGGTATGCTGCCACATAAATTTGGTTTTTCCGGCCATTACCCGATTCTCGACAACAAAGTTGCCAATGATCGAGCAAGTTCCGAAACAGAAACAGAAAAAGGTCAGCTTGAATGTACTCAATCCTCTCACAAGAGAGCATCCATTTCTGACAATGACCATCAAGATAGAATGGCTGCCAAAAGATTGAAGGAAACTGTAGACGATTCCCTAATCGATGACCCGGAAAATACTACCTTTGAAGATTTTAAAGGGCATCTGATGATAGGTGGAGTTTGGCAGAAAGTTAAGGAGGAAGAAGTATCAGCCATTGCATCCGCCATAAGGATTCTAGTTTAGTGGCCTGCCGGTCTTAATTTTTGTCCTAAAAAGGATGAAATAGCAATTTTGGTTTACACTGAATTTTTACGTAGGGCATCATTGTATGAGGAGAAAAAAAAAATGAAGTAGTTTTTATTAGAATGGTCGGGTTTTAGTGGTCTATGATTTAGATTCAATCAAAATCAGATTAAATGTGTTATGAATGAGAAGTGAAAAAACACAAATCACATCATACAAATTCATTATGTGATTATTGAATTCTCTAAGAAAAATGACTTCCTGGATGATGTGGTATGAATGAGAAGTGAAATAATACAAATGCATTTTGTTACCTATTAAATTCTAGCGAATATAATTCTGATAAATATATATATATATGCATATAACATACCTCCTTCATAAGCAAATAACACATTGAGATAAAGATCGGAAGAATAAGGTGTAATGAGTTATTTTTGTTGCGACAATTTTTACTTATTCTTTCTTCAAGCACTTTGCACCATAAACTCTTCTGTTAATTAGTAACTTCGACTACTAATAAGAGTGAAAAAGATCTTACAGGGGCGACCTGAGAACACATTAAAATACAGATAAAAACGAATCAGATCTGTCACTAATGTGATCTCATGTTACCCCTGTGGTACCTTTCCACTTTTTTCTTTTCATCTTTTTCTCAACTTTGTCAATGACAAAGCCGAATAAGCATGAGATTATTATATAGAGATATGAGCAAAACATATGTGTACTGCTTCTCCTTTTTGGGTAGATTGGGAAGTTTATGATGATTACTTGGTTGCTGTGAGGTGTATTTGGTACGTACAGTTTAGTACAAGAAATGTACTCCCTTTTTTTGGCCATATGAAATTCATTGTACTACATTAGTGTCACCTTTACACATCTTGGAAATTGTTGTACTTCATTTGATACATTTAATTGTTTGAATTTTTTTTTTCTGCAATTCTTCTATACAAGAGAAAGCGTTGCATATTAAACCAGAAATTTTATATTTATTCTATTATTTCCAGAATTCTTGCAATGAAATCATATGCAGCGTGTCACATTCTGTCCGTCAATATTTTGAAACCACATTCAAAAAAGTGTTTAAGTCTAAACAGCCATGTAAATGTAGTATATATTTTAAAATTTGTCTTTACACTCCAAACCCTCTAATTTTCTAGCTCCTGCATATTCTTTCCGGAAATTTTAATATTTTTAAAATTAAACCACATCCAAATCAGAAATTAAATAAGGGAAAAGATGAAACTGTTATTGTCTATACAGATCCTAAAATTTTTAAGAACTTTTTTCTTGGCATGTCTAAAATGCTAGTCAAGTGAGGAAAAGTGTTTACCTTTTGTGTCTAACAATGGGTTATAATTAAAAGAACAATTTGTTATCAAAAAGGTCATGCGGAATTATATTTGTAATAACTATATGAAAAAAAGAAAATCATAGTTAAAAAGTTTTTCTTCTTGGAACTACCATAAAAATAGTATTCCCTCTTTCATAAAGTTATTGTCTAATTTAAGATTTCAATTTTAGTTCAATTTGAATTAAAAATGAAAATCCAAATTGGACAATAATTTCGAGATGAAGAAAGTAATTTTTTTTATTTGCAGGGTGTTCAATTATTTATTATTCTTCTTATTGTAGATTGTGAATTTGTTACGTACGCATATTACCATGATCCTTTTTATTACCTTTTTATTTCTTATTTCTTTGAAATTTAACTAAATTTGATTCTATTTTCCAACACTATGATGCAGCTTTTCAGAGTCACGTTTCGAATGAATTTCAAATTATAATTCGAAACATTTTGAATTATAATGGTAATACGAATTTCAAATGCCCACCAAATACACCCTAATTAAACTATAAAAAAAAGAAAAATCTATTAGTATGGAACAATATTCATTCATTCCATTTTAATAACTCATTTTCTTGAATATAAAAATAATGACTACTAAAATGAAGCAAGGTAGTGCATTTTTTTTTTTTTTATCTTTCTTGAGCAAATAATCACATTTGTCAGTGTAACTTATACTGACTAAACTTTAACTTAATTGATTCCTTTAAGTGTGCAGCCATATTTAACATGGATATTATATGTAGTTCACCTAAAAATAACTAATTTAATCATTTTTTAAAATTCTTAAAAATTAGTTATTTGTGTCTTGTATTAAAGACTAGAGGAACTACAAAAAAAAAAAAAAAAAAGGACTAGAGAAACTACTTTGTTATCAAGAAAAAGATTAAAAAAAGGGAGAGTTTGATGGGGGTTAATTATTGCAGAAATTCATAGAATATGGGTCATTTCACAATCGATGAATAGTCTTTGAGGGCTATTCCCGCAATTTACTCCAAGGAATTCGAATTAGTAGTAAGTAGGTCTTAGGTCCGTCGTCCCAATAACGACTTCTTCTCTGTGCCGCCGCCGCCACCCACGACGCGACGGTGTTCTCCCCCGCCGGTTGCCGCCGATATTAATAACTTTTACCTTCTTCTTCTTCTTCTCTGTCAGCCTTTGTATAATTCCCACTAGATTATTCTCTCTTCCACCAGTAAACACCTGCTGCACAGTCAACTTTCTTCTTCTCGCACTTAGTTCAGTTGTATTCAGAATTTTTCTCCTCGCTACGAGTTTCTGCAGCAGTAATGGGGGGACTTTCAACAGGGGAAAAGAATTTTATAAACGGTGGGGTTGCACAAGACCTCCGTACTGATGGCCGGAAACGCTTAACTTACCGGCCCATTTACATCACCACCGGTGTCATCCCTCAGGTTTGGTGTCCAGAAATTGTGATTTTTTGGAACCATAATTCAGTTCAATTTGGGTTTCTATTGTTCGTTTTTTTGTTGTAAAAAATAGGCCAATGGTTCTGCTAGAGTCAAGATGGGTGCCACTGACGTTATCGCCAGTGTGAAGGTGATATGCATTGGCAATTTCTTTTGTTGGGTTTGTTTGGACAGTGGATATCTTAGTTAGTCAAGGTTGTATGTTTATTGGGATGTTCTTTTCCATGTTTGGAATTTTGTAGGCTGAACTGGGGAGACCAACTGCAGCTTATCCTGATAAAGGGAAGGTCTCTATTAACGTGGATTGTAGTCCCACTGCTGAGCCAACATTTGAGGTCGGATTTGCATTTGATTGTTTGTGAGGAGTTCTTCTTACTTTGTCTTTTGCTCTTTTCCGAGTGCGTGCAGTAATCTAGCTTGTTTTGCACAGTCAGATGAATGTCTGTTTTAGTTGCCGTGGCATTGTTGGCCTTCGCTTTCTATTAGAAATTAACACTTATTAGCCTTTACTGTTCTCGTTTAACTGAATATTGAGATTAATTTGTTGCCTCTGTGATATTCTTTCTATGAACTGCATTTACCTATTTAGTTCTTCAAGATGTAACTATCCTTGATCTATATTTGAGTAAAAATGAGTGGTATTTTTATTGAAAGTGAAGCTAATATTCAGGATTTATAATGGAAATGGTATAAGCATTTTATAAGACAGGTGTCCATTCAACCTTTCGATACTGGGAAAGAAGGGCAGGACTTACTTTCCTTAAATAATAAGAATAGTGGATTTATTTACCCAGATTTACAAAAAAAAAAAAGAAAAAAGAGAGAGAATAATGGATTTGACTGATGATAAGTGTGTGTGTTAATTGGCTATCCTAAGGTATTCTTTTGTGGGCAATTTATGTCACCAGGAGAATCTTTTCTGAATTCGTCGATATATTCCAACCTGTTTATCATATAATCAAAACAGGTTATGGTTATAATTTATAACAGTTACTTTCCTGTCCTTGATTTGGATTTTGGCAGTTCCATTTATTATCTTCTTTCATGTAGGGTAGAGGAGGCGAGGAGTTGTCCTCAGAACTGTCAATGGCTCTACAGCGCTGTCTATTGGGTGGAAAAAGCGGTGCAGGTACAATTTAAATGAATCAAGATGATTCTAATAGATAAGTAGTATGTTTTCCATGAAGAGATGTGAATGCTACACTTGGCTAATTAGTGCATTTTTCTTTTCCTTTTTGATTATAAACAAGCTAAATCCTTCTAAATTCTATGCAGGGGCTGGGATTGACCGTTCATCTCTTTCAATTGTTGAGGGTAAAATCTGTTGGGATCTCTATATTGAAGGTCTTGTTGTTAGTTCGGATGGAAATCTTTTAGATGCCCTGGGAGCTGCCATTAAGGTATGCTTGTATTCGTTCTTTCTTGGCTTTGATAAGTTTCATGTTAAATTCATGTCAAAACTTCAAAAACCGGATTTATTTGACATTATGGATTAGATATGTTTATGCAGCAATCAATCATGAACGTGAATGTCATTGTTTTTTTTTCTTTTGGATTTATCTGGGTTTAGTTCAAGAAATGTAAAATTGTCTTGGATTAGTCAATGTTCTACTGGAATGTTAAAAAGTATGTTGGTGCTCTGAAATTTCATTCTGAATTCAGAAGTAAGATGAAAAACATAATTAACTAGCTTTGTTTAGGGTTAGTAGTACATAGATTCTTTTCTTTTCTCTTGAAGTTTGATATTGTTCATGATTGTTGCCTGTTGAGGCTGCCTTGAGCAATACAGCTCTTCCCAAAGTCCAAGTTGCCTCAGTTGCTGCGGATGAGCAACCAGAAGTTGACCTAAGCAGCGAAGAATTTTTACAATTTGACACAAGTGGGGTCCCTGTAATTATTACCCTCACAAAGGTGACGAATCTTAACCCAACCATTATGCATGTGTGGTTTTGATTATGCATGTTAAGACCTTAGGTGTGATTTTGCAGGTTGGTAAGCACTATATTGTGGATGCGACTTCAGAAGAAGAATCTCAGATGAGCTCAGCTGTCTCTGTTTCCGTGAATAGGCAAGGACATATATGTGGAATGACAAAACGAGGGGGTGCAGGCCTAGACCCTAGTGTCATACTTGATATGGTATCTGTTGCCAAGCATTTAAGTGAGCAGTTAATCATTAAGTTGGAATCTGATATTGCTGCAGCAGAAGCTTATGAAGAAGAAGAATAGTGAATTACTCTTTCAATCAAATGTCAAAAATAGGTGTAGTGAGTGATTTGTATTGGCTAATTGCAGAAATATTTCTTGTAATTTTGTAAAAGATGCAGGAATAGAGGTTCAAGGAGTAGGAGAGTTAAAGAGTTAGCTGCAGCAGAATACGACCACAAAATGTCATTCCGTTCCCAGTATCTATGAGTTTAACCACATTGTGAGCATTGGGATTTTCATTGAAAGTGTTACTTTGAATTTGGAAAGTAGATGAATCTTTTCCTAGTCTTTTGTGGCTGACTCTTCTTCTACCAGTTGTATTAGTAATTCACTACTTTTGATGCTACTTACATTTACTAATAAGAGTTTTGCTGTAATATGGGTACTTTAATTATTATCTTCAAGATTTACATCTTTGATCTTGTTCATCACTTTTTTGAGGTCTGTCCATTGGCAACAGGAAGCCCATTTTCACTGCGCATGCATCCTTTCCTTCTATTTGTTGTTCTCTTCTGCAGCAATATGGTACCTTTTGCCTTTGGGATTGTGTAATTGAAAAGTTCTTGAGAACAGGATCATAGAGATTCAAGCTGATATCCTAGATTAGACTTCTGCGATTGCAAGAAGTAAGGATGCTGAATGCATCATGTTAATTACAGTAAGTGATCAGCTTCATAGTTGTCGAAAGTTGCAGAAAAACAGACATGATAAGATTTCCATCTATAGAAGTTCACTCACACGTATGCACTTTCGTTTCAAACACACAAATACCCGAGCATCCAACTTAAACCCAATATAACATAGATGGAGGAGCCAAGGAATCTTATTATCCAGACTTTAACTGTTTCAGAATACAATTTTGGGACAGGAATATCTAACAAGAGGAATGCCATAGTTGATTCATTGGTAGGCCTTGGGTTGATCATGGTTTAAGCTTTTACTTAGCTTCACTGAACTAGATTTACCTTTCAAGCATGGAGATCTTTGGGAGAAAGAAATGTGTCTGCTGCTAATCACCATCTGGCTGCAGGTTGTCGCTTCACTGTTGATTGAAGATATAGGAGATAGCAGCTTGTGCTTGTAGGGAGAACTTATCTCGGAATAAGAATCAAAATGTATAGGTCTGAGCCGTGGCGAGCTCATTGACCTAGCTTTTGCCTTGGCGGATTCAGTGGCCGCCATATATGTTGGAACAGCAGGGGACGTTCCCACTAGATCACCATTGTCTCCTTCTCCTTCACCTCCGACAGAATGCTGTCTCCTACGATCAAATGATCTCCTTGGAACATTTATTGTTGGAGAATCATCCAGTGCCTTGAATTGTTCATGTTTCTGAAGATTTCTCAGCCTGAGCCGTCGGTTATTTGCTTCCTCTTTGGTTTTTGCATTTCCCGAGTTGAACGTACCCAAGTTCATCTGGAGGTCATCTCTTCTTGCCAACTGAGAATCCACCCACTGTTCTAACCAATATCTCTGTTTAAGATTGAACTTGCTTTGCTCTGACTCTGTGGATCTCTGTAGACGACACAGAAAATAGTGTTTAGTAAACTCTGCTACATTTTTCCAATGATTTAAGATGAAGGAAAAAAAAAAAAAGGAGTGAATTCATCAAGGAAATCGACTTAAAAGAATAAAGTGATCCTGATGAAAAAGGTACAACTCCAGCATATCAGTCACTGTCTGATTTTGCAGAAGTAAAGCTAAGGCAAAATGCATAAGAAGAATTTGTGAAATCAAAGTTGGGGGACTAACTCGATGATTTAACCAATATTCCTTGATCCGTTCTCTCCTAACTGAAGCCACCTTTTTGTTCATTGATAAGGCATTGGTGTCTTCCTTCAGCAAAACACTGTCGTCCCATCTTTTCTGGCTGTTTGAATCAATCTGTTTCAAAAACTTATAATTAAGTTAGTGATTCACCGCTTTCCATAATTCAAACAGATATAGAAGTACAAATTCAAATACACTAAGTCAAGATATATATCTAGTAGATAGTGCTATTTGAACTATATATACATATATATGGTGGCAGACTATACACAGAACAAGTAGAAACTTGGTTTAAAAGACGTTTTCAGATTTCGAAATCAACAGCTACAGATCATATCTCTAGCTTCAATTTTTAGTGAAACATAATCAGAAGCATACGTAATTCAGTTGTATTATGGTATCTAGAAAGAAAATGAAGGAGTAAATTGGAGTAAACGAACATTTTTTCGCTCACCTTTATATCCTTTTCTGTCTCCTGCAGAGGGGTCTCTAACATGTCACATCTTTTTGCACAGATTTCTGATTGAATGTTTACAATGGTCTGTAAACACTTGAGGGTATTCATAGCTTGTCGTCGAACTGCACAACCACGAATTATTGCCTGAAGCTTAACCAATCCCTTAAGTGCACGTAAGGCTTTTCTGGCCTGCATAATCCATACTGCATTACTAAGAAAATGAACCAGAATAATGAGTGGTGACATTACAGGAACTAAGTTACAGTGGCTTTTCATAATGGCTGATGTGTTGTTATTATTCACTCGTTCATGACTATGCTTTTAAGTCACAGCGATTCTTTCACTATTTGTGTATCATTGCTCGTAGAGGAATACTTGAAAAAAAAAAAAAAAAAAAGTTCAGATTTTGCTGATGATTTGAGCTTCAATGTGCGCCCGCCTACATGGTACATGCTTCAGAAGGGAGACTCACGAGATAACCGCGAAATGCTGATTGGATTTTGATGGCAGCTACAAGCTGGAGGATGTCCAGTTGAGGTTGATCAAGTGGTTGTGGAACTGGACTAATGAGATCATGGACAGCTGAAATATTTTGGGAATGGACAGCTGAAATATTTTGGGAGTTTTTGTGGCATTCATCGGAACTTCCGAATAACTGGGAATCCTGATCAGGATTAGTAGTAGTACTCAGAGATACATCTGCTGCAGCAGAGAGATTTTGACATTTCTGCTTCAAATGATCTTCAGCTTCATTTTGTGTTCTCTTCTCCTCTGGTGCTGTAAGAGAAGCTAATCTTTTGTTCTTCAACCTTCCAAATATCCATCTTCTTTTCTTTTCCTTCTACAAGACAAAAATTGCACCAAATAATGAAGTTGCATCCATCTAGTACACAACAAATGACAGCCATTTCTTACCTTTTCTGGTCCTCCTGAATTTGTATCTGAAATGAAGAGCCTCTTAAGAACACTGAACCAGCTGCTCTTCTTCTTCTTCTTTGCCATCAAGACTTACTATCATTTCCTTTAGAGATGAATGAAGCTTGCACTAATTCATTGACTTTAAAGCGGATGATATGATTTTAAAATTGCACTTCCTAGATTTGAATCGATATGAATGTTCTTGGGACTTGGACAGTTTGCACAGAAATAGTAAAGATCAACCTTGAACAAAGCGAACATTCATTTTTTTTTTTCAATGATAGCAGAGACTAGATATAATATAACCAGGAAATGTGGAACTAATAAATGCTAGTAAACATCATTTTTTTTTCTTTTTCATTATTTCCCTTTTCGCTAACCAAACTAAGCACTCCATTTATCTGTATTGATTGATTACTTTTCGTACTACTTTTAGTACAACAAACTAAATAATCATATTAGAACAGTCTCTTATATTCCTTCTGTCCCGAAATTATCGTCTAATTTGGATTTTCGTTTTTTGTATAAATTGGACAATAAATTTAAGACAGAAAGTATGTTAAACTTTGATTGTGATTACTAGTAGGCCTGCCCTAAATACTCGCAATAAAAAGAAACTAAATCCAGTACCTAGTTACTCGCTAACGTTTTTCAATTTTCGCTTATGGAATAACAACAATACGATATTTGCAAAATCACATATATGTGTCATCCAGTCTTGACTTCTGATAATTCTGACGCAATCTATTGGCTATACATTTATTTAAAACTTATATAAGTTGTAACCATTTGTAATACAACTATTTAATGTTGGTGCATTCACCTGAAATGGGGGAATGGGACCATGTTGGAGATATAACCACATAGTATGTCACCCTACTAAGCAGAGAGGCATGTGGATTTGTGTCCTTGATTTCTTATTGCTCATAATTTCATCCCATCTATCCAGTACTATTGCTACTAAACGGTGGGATAAAGCCTAGGAACACAAAAAAACTTTTGCTGTTTGTCATTTTAGCCCAATGCAAAAAGTCGGTCTACCAAAAGCACATGTCAACTTTACTACTACTATGGTACAAATTATCACATGCAATACCATTGATTAGACCCCCCCAACCCCCCGACGAGGATGGGGGGTGTTGGTTGATCTATCTTGACACACTTCATAATCTCTCGTTCATGTTTAGTGAAACAATCTAATGCATACACATGTATATACTGTAGCAAAGAGTGTTTGTAATCAAGCAGTTTAGTTAATTACTAGGTCAGAGGGTCTCTAGTTCAATCAGATTTTTTATTTCAACGAGTTTAAAACATCTGATTAGAATTTTTTATTTCAACGAGTTTAAATCGTATATCTGACAAAACATTAAAAACTTAAATTTTGAACAACTATTTTCATGATAATAAGAAATTGTGTGGATTGAAAAGATTTCACCCGTCACAATTTCATGGATCCATTTGATGGAGAAATGAGTGTTTACTTTTTCTTCTTAAATAAATAAAGATGTGTGGAACTTTTTGTGGCTCCAAAATTTTGGAGATTGAGATGTGAAGGGTTTGCATGCAACACAACTACAATAATTATATATAATAATAATAATAATGAAAGTGAGAGAAAGAGGGAGATCTATAAGACTATAATTGAATGAGGTGGGGAAGTTCTCATGAGGAAGAGAATAGGGAATGTCAGGACAATAACGAACAAAGCATATTGATGTAGCCTCCTGTGTTGTTGAAGAGAGATGATATGAGAAAGACAGCTGTTTTGAGGGTCCAAAAAATTACTAATATTTTTTTCCCAAAAAATAATCCACATTGAATTTATAAATTTGTACTAGTTTTAGTATAAAATTCAAAATTCAATACAAAATTACTAATCTCTGTCCCAAAAAAATAGTCCACATTGATTTTTCAAATTTGTACATTGAGTTTTCAAAATTCAATATGAATTACTACCTCCGTCCCACAAAAATAGTCCACATTGAGTTTTCAAATTTGTACATTGAGTTTTCAAAATTCAATATGAATTATTATCTCCGTCCCACAAAAATAGTCCACATTAAGTTTTTAAAACATTACAAAACTCAAAACTCAATGTGGACTATTTTTGTGGGACGGAGGTAGTAATTCATATTGAATTTTGAAAACTCAATGTACAAATTTATTTTTTTTAGACAGAAGTGGTACAGTTTTTATTTTTATTTTCTTGGACGAAAAAGATTATGCCAATATATGGTCGATGAATTTACACTTTATTACACAACAAAATATGAGTAGGTTGAATAAATTTGTCTTTAGAATTTGTTAATGGTCTTTCGTAATTTCAAACAAGATGTGACGAACCAAAGAAATTGGTCTTTGGTTTTGAGGACCTCCGAGAGAACAATCTATATGTGAGTTACTTATTCGCCATAAGTTGAAGCATATGGATGTTGAGGGAGTACAATTAATTGGCAGTGGAAATGCATGAGTTTGGCAAAAATGCCTTTCAGAAAAATGGCGTGACGGCATTTTGTTTTAAATAGGCGGCTTGCATGACCATTAAGAGGGATAAGAAAAGGACGTTGATTGCGAATGCAATACATGGAAGCTGAAAAAGAAAACTATATTAATCCCAATTATCTACTCGGATCAAATAGGAATTAGTTGCATTTGTCGCTGTTTGTGATTGTATAGGGTTTGGAATCATCCTTCTACTTACAACGATGAGGACAAAGTATACATGTTGAATGTGGTTTCTATGGATGAGAAAAACAGAATTATGATGATTTCATTTTTACACGAAAGGGTTTTTTTTTTTTTATTTCATCGATCTTGATTTATATTTGTTTTCTAAAATTACCTATATCTCGATTCATGACTTACTTACAACGTTTTGACTGAATTCCACTTCACATAACTCCTCTTCTTTCTTTTTTTTTTTTTCTAAAATATATGATTAACACAACTTTGACGATTTACATTTCACTACATTGCACAAGGTAAGCACTAGTATTTAATTTAATTTTATTTTTTTAAAAAAAGATGTTCATGAGTTTGTATGTAAGAAAAAAAAAAAGCATGGCATGTTATTGGAATGGAGTTATACGTTTAATGCTGTAAGTTTTTTTTTTTTTTTTTTGAATTAATATACTAACAAGTTTAATAAGTTGGGTATAGACATAGTCACATAGACTATAAGGATCATTGAGTAGGTTGTGGGTCTCTTAGTTGCTGTTGTATTATTTTTATTTTTTTTTTGTTCTTTTATCGCAATAATAACTTGTAAAATATAATGTAAAGTACTCTAGATACTTGATCTTACTTGGATTCGAAGAAATCAAAGAAGTATAAGATTGTCCCCTTAAAAAATTTTTTTGGGCTAACTGAGGAGATTATGTGTTTACGAGATACTTGGATCTTAATTTCTATTTGCATTTATTTAGGCAAACGTTAATTTGCTAATGAGAGTTTTTTCTTAATGGTCATTCTCAGACAGCCTCCCAAGTCTAGTAGCGGAATCAAGATTTAAACACTGCAGGGCTCAACTATATTCATAATAAAAAAATAAAATCCTCGTATATAATAACAAAAATAAAATAAATTAAAATAATATTAAACCCAGAATGCTTAAATAAAAATAATAATTTAAAACACTATTAAAGGGGAAAAGGCAAAAAAAAACCTCATAACTGTGTTGAGGAGAAGGACGGCAGATTGGAGGAGTGCAACACTTGAAACGGTGGCCGATTTAGAAAATGGGGAAAAAAGCCAAGAAGAACTTGATGTGGGACTAATTTGGTTTTAACTTTTAACAAAATACTAGCTAAATCGGATGCACTTCTCGCCTACCTTAGATAATATATATGAATAACAAAATATTGAATCTTAAATAAAAGTAAAGTAAAAATTTACAAAAAAAAAATTCATTTATTAACAAAAAAGTGTTACAAAAAGATTATTTTCTTTGCGAAATGCATAAGGGTGTGTTCTGTGTACGGGAAAGAGAATGGTAGAATGGTAATGTCATTTCTGGTCAAGAAAAATCAATTTATTAAAGAAATCGTCAATTTCCTTACAATGTTCATAAATATTAAAAAATTATAATCATTTTCTCATTACGGTGTTCTTTTTTGCTTAATATACAATGGGAATGAGAAAAATAATAATTTTTCCAATGAACTTAAAATATTCATAAGAACTACCAGTAAAGCGAAAAATCAAAATGGACAATATTTATTTCATGAATCACGTTATAAGAACAAATACAAATAGACATATCATAATTTTTAAAAAATGTATCCGTAAATTTTGGTTCCTTAAGCAAAATTAACTCATTAAGCAAAATTGAAATGTTGAAACATTCAGATTAACCTTTAGTATATTTAGATATCTTAAACATAACAAATCTAGAAACATCTTAATTCATGTCAAACTCTAAATCAATTTGCTAATCTGTTGCCGCCGTTCAAAATTAAACACAAAAATAAAAACAAAAGAAAAACTAAACAAAAACAAATAAATGATAGCTAATAATTTATGCCATCAAAAATTCTAAAATAATATATTAACGGAGGACCGAAAATTATTCAGGATGAGAAATATGACATAAGATATATTGATGATGATAGGTAGGAAGAATTAACTTTTTTTTTAAGAAAAAAAAAACAAGTTTTGAATTTGAATGATTATCTCAATGTAATAATTTACACACCTTTGTCTAAGAACTTTCTATTGATCTACCAAGAAAAAAGAAAGATTTTTCTGGAAAAAGAAGAAGTTGGAAGATTGATTGGGGAATGCATATACAAAGGAGATTAATCTAATCATATTGAAAAATATGGAGGCAAAAGGAAAAAATAATGGAGAGAGAATAGAGGCAGAAGTTTTTTGGCTTGTGAAAGGAGTCTTATGTTATTTTTATTTAATTAGTGATAAATGTTCTTAGTATATATTAAACTAGATGCTTGGCCCGGGCAGAAGCCCGGGCGCCGCTGATGTTAATAAAATATTATTACAAAAGAATAAATTATTGAATTATTAGTAATAAATTTTTTAAGATTCCATTCAAAAGATTTACAATTAAGGTTGATTAATAATGCACAAGGTTTACAAAAGTTACGTGAATGATAACATTAATTGAAAAATGATCATTTAAAAACTGGAAAATTGTTTGTCAAATAGGAAAACATTTACTTATTTTTATAAAGTATAAATAAATAATGGATTCGTAATATATTTGCCAAATGTCTGGAGTATTAAGTTATTAAAATGAAATATAGGAAGAATGAACTAATTTTAAAAATATATAGAGTTAGAAATATAATTATCCATGTAATTTAATTTAAACAATATATATTATTTGTTAAGCATAAATTAATATCTAAATGTTTTTCTGTTGAATAATATTGATGGTCATTATATTTTAAATTGTAAGTGTTTTATAGTGACATATATTACAATTTATAGTTGTCAATTTACGGTAACTTTGATGATGTTTTATAATCTTTTTATTCGGTATCTTTGAAAAAATAGTGTTTTATGGTTTCATTATTGGGTTTTATATTTGTTTTTTTCAAATGTAAAATCCTATAACATTTTTTGTTCCATTATGGTTCCACGTGTCTTTTTATTCGGTATCCTTTCTCCAAGCATATACTCTTATGTGGTTGTACCGGGTGTTATACAAAAAAACAAAATATATTGTCCAAATTGGTTTTGCTGTCTTTTTCAGACCACACTCCAAATAGATCTGAGAAAGGG